CAGGTCCTCTTGGCTTCCTACGATATGACAGCATCTGGGATGAATTACAGTTATTGTCCTGCAGGACCTACAGGCTGTCAATCCCTACCCCCCTTGAGGGGGGTATTGAGTCACATCACCACTGCGGCAGTATCTTACTACAGAGATTGGACTCCAACTTCACTCATCATCATAGGACCAACTTTGACAATGAGAATGGCAACTGATACGAGCTGTACTGTCAGCTATTCCTGCTTTGCCTACCTTTCAGAGAGCTGGAGTGACAGTCACGGTTGTATGGATGATTAGAATCTGGGTGATCGTGTACTATATTTTTCGCTCTGCCGCACTTAATTAGTTTGCATGCTTTTGATGACGATACAGTGGCTTAGGTCACTGTATTCAAGGCAAATCTCAAGTTGTTTGGTTTGGTTCTTGTTTGGGCCCGGCCCCGTTCTTTGTTGCTTCGCTGTTTGCTTTATGGCGAAACGCAAATCTGGCTGGGGGATTTGCGGGTCGTTTTGGTTGCGTTTTTTGTTTTGGCTTTTTGTTTGTGTTGATGTGATGATTTGCCCGCGTTTTTGGACCACACGAGTCCTTTTTCTAAATGCTTTTCACCGCTTACGCTATTGTAAGGACCGTGCCTAGTGCGAATCGGCCAAACCGGAGGAAAAAAAAACTGGCAATGTATGGCGAAGAAGTCCTTGGATATCTTCGAACAAACCTGAAAGCAGGACCCCGATGGCAGCATGGTGTTTGGCTTGGAAAAACAATGTCAGGTGACCAGCATATAGTCGGCACGGCAGATGGAGTGTTCATCACACGAAGCATCAGGCGCACACCGAATCCATTCAACTTGGATAGACTGGGTGATTTGGAAAGTTGGCCTTGGGAATTTGGGTATGCAGCTTTGGGCAACAGACAGATTGGTTTACAGCAAGCGTGTGAGTCAGCCTCTTGCCTTTGGTGTGGGTTCAATGCCTCCACCAATTGACATGGAAGCCATACATGTCCACAAGTATGCGGTTGAACACCCAGAAGAGGATGTCGAGCGATCAGCAGAGGCGGGGGACGTGCCAGAACCTTCGCTGGATCCCCCAGCTGCTCTTCCTTCTGCAGCTACTGCAATGGATGTTTCTGCTGATGCACATGGTCAAAAGCGTGTTGATGATGGAACGCCAGGAGACTCTCCAAAGAGGACTCGATTTGCCGACAAAGGCTTTGCGCTGCTGGAATCTACTTTTCTGACAGATGACACGCCCGCAGGCGAAAGCGCTCCAAAGACTCCAAAGCGTGACACTAGCCCAGATAAAGGTCATGTCAGCCAGGTCACCAGCACAGACTTGAACTTGTATGAACATGAAGACCAAGCGGTCTCTTTCACCTTTAAAGATGATGAGTTGGATGAGCTGGAGACCTATGAAATGAACTTTAAGAACGACGAGCTCTACGATGATGGTGATTGGGTGGACGATGATGCAATCATCAGCCAACTGACTTTTCCTTTCAGCAAACATGAGCCTTCTTTGGATGATTCTGAATTGCAGAGGTTGGATGCTTTGGCAGATTCTTTGGAGATTCAACGCCTCACAAAGATGGCAGTTCTGACAGATGCAGCAACAATGCCACCGGACTCAAAACAACTTTCTACAAGATTTGTCAGAACATGGCGTGAGAAGATTGGAAAAGATGGACAGCAAATCTGGCTTCGACGATCCAGATTTGTCGCACGTGAATTAGCATGGATGGATAGTGAACGTGACGCACTCGCGACTCGTTGCGATAGTGTATTAGTTAGTACCTGCGCCCGTATTGAGCGCCGTCTCTCCCTGCGCGTCTACGCCGTGCTCCCTTGCGTTCATCGCTTCTTATTTGTGCTTACCTTTATCCCGCGGTTTCCGGGAAGGTTCTTTGAATGGTTCTGAACATTCTACTCATGGGTTCCGATAAGGGAACTTTGATGTCATGCTTGACACGTTTCTATTTGGAATTCCGTCATCTGAATTCTCGTGAATAAATTTTTCAGAAAGAATCTGAAAGATTTTCTCATCTTCATATTTTTGATTTGTTTTCCTCGGTTTTTATTTGGACAAACAAATCTGAAACCTGAATTCATTTCAACTTGAATTCCGTCATTGCTGGTTTCATATATTTCTTTTATGTCACAAAATTTAGTGGATCAAAAGGGTTGGAGACTAAAAGGTCGTTAATGGACGGCTTCGCCCCGGAGCGCTCACACTCCCGTAGATGGATGTGAATGTTGAGGAGGCGATGTGGACAATTCTCCAACGTTTTGGTCTGGATGGTAAGAAACTAGCAGTTTACAAACCGGATGATGCACACGATATTGCAGAGCAAGTTTGTCATGAGCTAGGTTGGATCTGTGATGGCACACACGTTGAGATAGTCAGGTCTTGGTTGTGCAGGGTAAACACAGATGAGCCATTTCAGAAGCGGCTACAGAGTGACCACATGCCTGAGTCTTTGCATGCAACATTGGATGACCGTTTCAAAGTCAAACCCAGTACAGCTGCTCATGTCCATGTTTCTTCAGTTGCAGGGTCTTCTACTGATGTTTGGAAACCTTTAAGGGTCAAACACCGTGCACAAGATGAACAAGTTGATGCAAAGAGAAAGTGGGAGACAGACCTAAAAGAGAAGTGGTCAAGGGAGTTGTACATACAGCTAGCTGCGATCAATGCTCCAATCTTACAGGGCATGGACTTCTGTGTCGGTTCGGAGCGTATTCATTTGGCCTTGGCTGGGAAAACAAGGGGATCAACGTTGAAGCGATATGTCAAGGCTTGGAAGGCTTGGCAGCTTTGGAAGAAGTCAGCTTGGGGTGAAGAATCATTTGTGCATCCTGGGATGTTTTGTGAGTACCTTTTTTCAAGGATGGATGAGCCTTGTGGTCCTTCGATTCCTGGGTTTATTTGCAAAGCGATCAACTGGTTTGAGAAGGTGGCAGGTTTAGATGAGTCTTCCATAGTCACTTCCAGTCGTGCCGTTGTACAGATCAGGGATTATATCACTGAACAGCTGTCAAGGGATAGTCCACCACCTCGTCGGGCGCCAAGATATCCTGCAGTGGTAATCGAAGCCTTGGAGTGCATGGTTTTGGATTCTGAAATTTTGCTTTGTCTCAGAGTTTTAGCTTGGTGCAAACTTCTCAAAATCTGGGGAGGATTACGCTATGACGATTTACAGAAGATAAAGCCTGGTGAACTTCATTTGACAAATGGAAGGTTGACCACACTCCTCAGGGTGACAAAGACCTCAGGGCCGGGGAAGAGAGTGCAGGAATTGCCAGTATGTGTTTCTGAACAGGCGTTCGTTTGGAGTGCGAAATGGATTCCAACTGGTTTTGATTTACTCAAAAAGAACGCTGACTTTGACAGGCATTACCTGATACCCAGGTTTGCAGAGGACTGGAAAGGGTTCAGGAAGAAGTATGCCACTTATGCAGACATGACGGCCTATTCAACTTACTTGCGCAAGACCTTGATAAGGTCCAATGACTGGGAAATGTTGATCCCGGAGGATCTTGCGACTTTCTGGACAGAACACTCTGAACGTGCAACCTTCCCAACGGGTATTGCAATGTTAGGAGTGCAGACCACGGACAGGAACCGGCAGGTGGAAACCAGAGGCCAGTGACACTTATATCAGATCATACAATGGTTTGGTTGCCAACTTGCAGTTGAAGTTTGCCAAAGCTTTGAGGAAACCGGATCGCATGAAAATCCTGGATGAGGTAGACATCCTGGAGTCTGCTGGGGCATGGCTTAGGTCGCGCAGGACGGATATTGCAAAGGCTGAGTGTGATTTCATTTTGTTTTCACTTGAAACATGTATGACATATTACTTTGATGCAAGCGTAGATCCTGAACCTTTTGAGACTGTTCCCGTTGAATTGGAAACCTCGGACCTGAAAGAGACTCGAGGACAGTCGGACACTCAGGAACAGAAGATTCAGAGGGATGCTGAATACGTAGTGGTGCATGTCAACAATCGTTGCAAACGTTTGCACAAGACCAAAGGAGGTTGTTGGATGGCAAGAGAAAAAACGTTTAAGACGTCGGAAGAGTACATGGAGAAGCCACCAGACACTAGTTTCACACATGTCTGTCGCGTTTGTTGGCCAGCCTCAAAAGGGGAGGACGACAGCACAGAGGATACCTCATCGAGCACCAGCTCGTCTAGCTCCGAGGAATCAGAGAAAGCTGGTAGCAACAGTAGTTGAGGGTCTTGTCATTTTGGGGTTCAGGACGGTTGGATGTGATTGCACTTGTTTCTTCTAATGCAGTGTGTGTTTTTTGAGAGACAGTTGAAACATTGAAACGTTGCCACTTCATTTCATTTTCAGTTAGGATCATTTCAAGGAGTTGTCAAACAATGCAAACCTCAGAGCGGCATTTAGTTTCCATGGTGTCGATGACACTTGAAGGGTCGTGCATTGAAAGGGCCGAAAGCGGCTCAGAACATAACCAGAACCGGAGGGCATACAGAAGCAAAATATGTTAGACTGCTGCCCAGTTCTGGCGGGAGATGTTCCGGTTTTCAACTCAGAATTTCGTGAGCAGTTTGTCATGTGAAAAAAACATGGTGAGGTGATATTGGACTGTGCACAGGCGTCAGGTACATGTAAAGGTCTTTAAAATCAATTTGGATCGAAGGATCCCGGAAAACACCTGTGCTGACATAGAAATCAAGGGACTGATGTGCCGGAATTGCACTCGGTGGTCCTCGGTTCAAGCGCAGTGACGAAGGTCACCGTGATGCGTCATGAAACATACAAATGTTGCAAAGACAAATTTATTTCTTCAGACAAACTGAGTGCACAAACTTGACATAAGTAGAAAGCTTTCTTGTGCAGTGCTGTAAAGTTTTCATTGAGTTTGACGGTGACAGCTGTTGGATTTTCTTGCATATCGCTGGATAGTGCATGTCAATTACGAGATGATGCAAAACTTTTTCTGCACTTTTACATTTCCTCTTTAGAGGGCTGTGAGCGTTAGGGCATGGCTTTTCTGGGGCCTGGATTGGGGCCGCAGACACTGGAAGAGACTCTGAAGCTGGGCAACTCAGACTTGCGTTTCACGTTTGAGCGGAACGAGGTGCCAGAGGAGGTGCAAGCTCAGTTTTTTACACATGGGGTCACAAACGTCAACAAATTCTCTGCCTTCTTTAGAGATGAGGCAGACTTGGTACAAGTGCTCAGAGATGATTTCCATGTTGATGCTGCAGCTTCCTTGGGCGATCGTGCAAAAGTCGCAGCAGTGATTTGCTCTTGGAAAGAAGTCAGTACAAAGGCAAAGAGACAGGCAGAAGTTGAAGCAGAAATGAATACAAGGGAATGGACCAAACCTATTCCTACAGGAGACTATGTGCAGCTCCGCAATGCCTACCAACAGGCGATGGGGCATTTGGAGGACAAAGTTACGCCTGCAAAGGAGTATCTGGAGAAGAAACTACAAGAGCTGGAGAATGGAGAGTTCAGAGCAGAGACCTTGTCAGAAGTAGTGAGCAAGGACGAAGTAGACCCAGACGTTTTGGTGCCGATCTTTGATGCCAAAGGATCTCTCAGTGTGAAGAAAGGTTCTTCCACAGTAGCTTTACCCACGGGGCCCGAGCAACTGAGGAGGAGGTTGAGTGTCATGCAAAATTGCATCATGATGCTGGCTTTGAAACATGTCAATAGAGAGGAGATTCAAGACGTGGACAAAGATGTCTTTGATAGATACAAAGACTACCTGCTGGGAGATTACGTTTGGGGTCTTAGCTCAACGGACCTTCAAGGGCAACAAATTCAGACGCCACCTTGGAGCTTGGTCTTGTCCTATGAGCAGGCTATCAGAAAGAGAGCCTATGTGATCATGATCAAAGAAAGGCTACAACTTGGTGCAGCCCTGGAGCAAGCTTGGAAGTGTCCGACAGTGAAAGAGAGACACTTCATAACGCCATTGGCGCTATATTCAAAGCGTTCTTATGGAGCTTCTGCCCCGTCGGCACCTTCGCCAGGGCTTTGGAACGCAAAGGGCAAAGGCAAGTCAAAATCCCCAAAGGGATCCTCCAAGGGAAAAGGACAAGGTCCGGCAGGAGAAAAGTACTGCTATCGGTTCAACAAGGGCATGTGCAAGCACAAGGGTTGCAAGTTCGCGCATATTTGCAGCAAGTGCTTCAAGAAGGGTCACAATGCTTTGAACTGCAAGGAGAGCAGCCCGGATACTACGGGCACCAACTGACAAATGCAGGATGGTGGAGGTGAAACAGTTTCACAGAATTTGGATGGCGCAGAAACTGGGAGCAGAGTGTGCCGTATTCTATACATTTTTTCAGGGAGCAGTCGCAAAGGATCTGTTTCTGCATGGGCCAAAAAGCTGGGCTCACGCATGGGTATCACAGTTCAAGTCGAAATGATTGACATCAAAGTGCGTCCGAACTGGGACTTGACCAAGTCAAAGAGCAGACAAGTTTTGTTAAACAAAATACGTAGCGGGCGTTACTTTGCAGTTTTGATTTCACCGCCTTGCAGCACTTTTACAAGGGCGACATGGGCGAACCAAAAAGGACCAAGACCGGTCCGGTCTTATGTGCAGCCAAGAGGGCTACAGCGATTGACGTGGTCGGAGCGGCAGAAGGCAAAATGGGGGAATGAGCTCACAGATTTTTCTTTTGAAGTTTGTGTAGAAGTTTCAACGACCGACACAATGTTGCTGTTTGAAAACCCGGAAGATCTTGGAGCAGTACAACAGGGAAATCTTTATGGCCAACGTCCAGCCAGCATGTGGCAATGGCCAACCTTTTTCGAGTTGTTGGAAAAACAGGGTTGGGAAACAGTTGCGTTTTACCAGGCTGATTTTGGCACGGAATATTTGAAACCCACTCGTTTACTGCTCAAAGGTTTTCAGACTCAACAACAGACAGCTTTTGTGCAAGGTAGGCCCAGTTTTGATGAACAAGGATTCTACGAGGGTCCTCTGACGAAGAGAGAGGCCGTCAAACAGTTGATTGGCCATGCAGGCAGCAGTTTTGTGACAAAGGGGACCGAGCAGTGGCCCAGTGAGCTGTGTCGTTGGATAGCGTTGCAAATCTTAGAGAAATTTCATACCTCAGTCGTTTTGGCCTCCGGAGGGGTTCAACAAAATACCACAACAACCTCGGAAAAGTTTACAACCACAGAACCAGAAGGCTGGAAAATACATGGTGGAAGCGGTGAACCAAGGATCTGCAGATCCCCAGGTAAGACCAGAGAATTCCATGATGGTGCAGGTTTGGCTTCACCAGGGCGTTGGGACCTGGAACGTAGGACATGGAACACAGATGGTTTTTGGAAGAAACTTAGGGAAGGATCCTTGCGTTTGGTTTTGGAGAGCTGCGGTGGTTGGCAAAAGTTTGACTTGGAGTGTTTTCAAATGGCGGCCAAGGGTGAACAGGGCTGCAACCTGGTTAGAGATCAGGCGTTACAGTCAAAACTGGTGGATCTTTGGATCACGCTTTTGAGAGAAGAGGGATATGAAACTGAAGGTCTTGGTGATATTGCAGATGGACAGCCTTTTAGGCTGAAGCTTATGCAAGCGTTGTCAAAACGAGCAGGAGACCCAGACCACTGTTTTCTTTTGCAAGGTCAAGAAGGTTTTCCGGTGGGGGTCCTACACCAGCTGCCTAGGACTCCTCATATGTATGAGGAGCAGACGGCGTGGAAGTTGGAAGAGGATCCATATATGCGTGAAGAAATCTGGCGAGATAACTATGAGTCAGTCCAGGACCATGAGGAGTTCGTGCGAGAACACTTCAAAGCTGAATGCGAAGAAGGGCTCATGGAAAAGATGTCGCTTGAAGAGGCAAAGAGGCGTTTTGGGGATAAGATTGCAATCTCATCCCTATCAGTTCTGGTGGAAGAAGCTCATGGTAACAAGCGACGTATAATACATGATGCAACTCATGGGACGAAGATCAACAACAGAATCAAGTGCCGGGACAAACAAAGGAGCCCGGGGGCACGGGAGAAAATGTACTTGCCGGCCTATTACAAAGACAAGGGCAATGTGATCTTCAGCCTTGTGGGTGACATTAGCAAGGCTCACCGACGTTTCCTGCACCACCCCAGCGAAAGGGGCCTTCTGGCATGCCGAGTCCTTTCCACAGATGACCATGTGTACATCAACAATGTGGGAACGTTTGGAGTGGCTTCCGCATCATATTGGTGGGGGCGCATTGCTGGATCAGGCCTGAGGCTGGTCCATGAGTTGATAGGACCGGAGATGCCGGTAGAGATGTTGATATTTGCAGATGACTTGGAGGCGCTTGGACCAGACAGGCAAGGGAGAAGGGGTGTGGTGCTGGCGTTTCTCTATTTAGCAGTTCTTGGTTTCCCATTTAAATGGGCAAAGCAGAGAGGTGGCTTGAAAGTGGAGTGGATAGGACTTTTTGCTGATTACACCAGCATGAAACTTGGTCATTCGCCCTCAAGGGCAGCTTGGGTTGCAAAATGGACCAAAGGTCTTGCTGAATCAGGAAATGCAACTGCGAAGGAGATGGAGCAGGGTCTTGGACGTTTGTGTTTCGCCGCAAACGCTCTCTTGTGGGAGCGTCCTTTCTTGGGACCCTTGTTTTCTTGGACAGCTGCGATAAGAAACAAGAGAGGTACTCTGAAGCTGCCTGCGATGCTACGCACCATTCTCTTCTTCCTTGGACGACGCGTGGAGGAAGGTGGTGACCTGCAGACTCCACCACCTTTGAAGAGGAGAACAACTCCCGATGTGGTTTTCTTTACCGATGCAAAAGCAACGGACACTGGAGCATGGATAGGTGGTTTTTTGGAATCCAGCGAGGGCGAGATACTTTCATGGTTTTCTGAAAAGATCGAGCCCGATTGTGCGCCTTGGCTTTTTGTGAAAAACAACCCGAAGAGGGTAATTGCAAGCCTGGAGCTTCTTGCAACTTTGGTGGCGGTTAGACTCTGGACAAAGGATCTAGGAGTCGCTAGCGCTGGCACTTGCTGGATTCGTGCAGGTACCGACAATCAAGGGAACACATACGCTGTCAATAAGCTCATGAGCACCAAATTTCACTGACCCTATTGGTGTTGGAGCTCTCAGAAACCTTGAGGCTGAGGAATTGCGAGTTGGGCTTGGAATGGATACCACGTGAACACAACCAACTAGCAGACGACCTCACCAATGAGGATTTTAGCAAGTTCCCTGGCGAGCGGAGAGTTCAATGGGTTGGAGGTAACACCAAATGGTACGTGCTTGATGGACTAATGGACAAAGCAAAGGAATTCTTCACAGAACTTCAGAAAGCCAAGCTTGAAAACAAAGACAAGAGGAAAAGAGCTTCTCCAAAACAAAAGAAGAAACTAGACCATTGGTGATTGGTGCCCTCGTTATCCTAAAGGGATGCAACTTTCAGCTCGGGTACCATTCGCAAATGGTCAACTGACGGATGTTGCAAAAGGGGCTGGATTTCCAATCCGTACCCAATGAAATAGCGAAAGAAAAAGATGGAGCTGCTCTGAAGTTCATCATGCTGTATTTTGTTTGTTGCTTGGAACGACGTGGGAAGTTTCAGAGATGCCTATTTCCTTTTGAGATGTTTTTGTTTGTTGATGGTTTTATGTTTGAAAATATATACCGCGTAGATTGCGTTACCTCTTTTTGATATCGGAAATATACTCGTTATATTCCACGTATCACTGGGAGGGTTTAGGGAGGGTATAGGGAGGGTATACTAGTGGTACTATACTAGTACGCACTCGCGACTCGTTGCGATAGTGTATTAGTTAGTACCTGCGCCCGTATTGAGCGCCGTCTCTCCCTGCGCGTCTACGCCGTGCTCCCTTGCGTTCATCGCTTCTTATTTGTGCTTACCTTTATCCCGCGGTTTCCGGGAAGGTTCTTTGAATGGTTCTGAACATTCTACTCATGGGTTCCGATAAGGGAACTTTGATGTCATGCTTGACACGTTTCTATTTGGAATTCCGTCATCTGAATTCTCGTGAATAAATTTTTCAGAAAGAATCTGAAAGATTTTCTCATCTTCATATTTTTGATTTGTTTTCCTCGGTTTTTATTTGGACAAACAAATCTGAAACCTGAATTCATTTCAACTTGAATTCCGTCATTACTGGTTTCATATATTTCTTTTATGTCACAAAATTTAGTGGATCAAAAGGGTTGGAGACTAAAAGGTCCCACCCACCCATTCCCGGATGCAACTTTCAGCTCGGGTACCATTTGCAAATGGTCAACTGACGGATGTTGCAAAAGGGGCTGGATTTCCAATCCGTACCCAATGAAATAGCGAAAGAAAAAGATGGAGCTGCTCTGAAGTTCATCATGCTGTATTTTGTTTGTTGCTTGGAACGACGTGGGAAGTTTCAGAGATGCCTATTTCCTTTTGAGATGTTTTTGTTTGTTGATGGTTTTATGTTTGAAAATATATACCGCGTAGATTGCGTTACCTCTTTTTGATATCGGAAATATACTCGTTATATTCCACGTATCACTGGGAGGGTTTAGGGAGGGTATACTAGTGGTACTATACTAGTACAGTTTATTTTCACCTGCAAGCAGTTCAATTGTTGCAAGGTTGTTGCCTTTGATGTACCTGGATATGAAGCAGCATGCAGAAGCAGTCATGGCCAGCATCGATGTGAAAGATGCATTCCTCACTGTAAAACAGAAAACACCAACAGTGGTCACATGCAAACTTGCAGACGGCCATGAAGTTCAATATGGTCTAGGGCGCGTCTTGCCAGGCCAAAGGGATGGTAGTTTGCTTTGGCAAGAGGACATCACCAAAGTGCTATGCGAGGAGCTTGGGATGAGCCAGCATGTCCCTTATCCTTGTATTTTGAAAACAGCCGACAGCAGTTGCTTTGTGCTTATTCACGTGGATGACATTTTGGTCGTTGGACGTCGTGAATTTGTTTTACAAAAGATGGTGAAATGTCTGCAACAGCGCTATGAAGTGTCCACGCAACTCATGGAAAAACCAGGTGATGAAGTTAGCTTTTTGAAAAGGCGCATGATCCTGCAGCACGATGACAGGATCACCATAGAGACACACCACAAGCATGTTGACCAAATGTGCAGTTTGCTTCGGTTGAGCCGCAAGCTCCAAAACAAGAAGTCGCCTGGGCACTCAGACATGGACCAGGTTGATACAACCAATGAAGTTTCCCCAGCAGCTGCAAAGGCGTTCAGAACATGTGTTGGGATACTTTTGTATCTAGCAAGCGACTTGCCGCACTGCCAGCACAAAGTCAGGCACTTGTCAACATACTCAACGCAGCCTACAGTGAAAAGCAGACAGTTCTGAAACACTTGGTTGGGTATTTGGCCTCACACGACAGCATATGCATGTCACTCAAATGGAAGGGAAGAACCACTGGCCTCTTTCATGGCTACAACACCTCCATTCCTGGTGAGAGCATCATAGAGATTTTTACAGACAGCGACTGGGCAAGTGACAGGACCAGTCGACGTTCAGTCTCATGTGCCACCATATTCCTTGGAGGATGTCTTTTGTATTCATGTTCACGGACGCAAAAGTTGGTATCCCTTTCAAGTGCTGAAGCAGAAGTTTACGCTTGTTCTAGCGGCACTTCGGATGGTATCCTCTTATGCAGGCTTGTTGAATGGATGACAGGTTTCAAGTGCAGCATCCACCTTCACTGCGACAGCTCAGCTGCAAGAGGAATCATCCAACGCCAAGGCGTAGGAAGGGTGAGGCATTTGTCCTGCAGAGTTTTATGGCTTCAAAGCCTTGTTGCTGATGGAACCATAAAGCTTGCATGTGTGGCCGGTGCATCAAACCCTGCAGATATAGGAACAAAGCGCTTGCCTTCCTCCCGACTGCGCTCGTTGATGAGCATGCTTGGAATGTTTGATATGGCAACTGGTTTGGTGGAAGGAGCCGATGACCCAGGACGCATTTTCTCCAAGAAGCAGAGCGTGCATGCGATACTGAGCGTCTTGAGCCTCCTGACCCTTAAAGGTTGTGCTGAAGACAGCGATGTGTCTTCGAACCCCACAGTTGGTCTTTTGGTTTTCACACTTGTCCTTGGATTTTGTTTTACAATTTTCTGGATGATGGTGAATGGTTTACAAAGAAACAGACGAGTGAACAATGAGCCCGATGCAGAACCCGCTGTCAGTGAAACCCTTGGAACAGAAGCCGTGGACAATGCAACATCTGCAATGCCCACTGCAGATGCACCTCTCTCAATGCCTTCCAGCGGCTCTGCGGCTGATACAGCCTTGACTGCAGAGAACTATGTGAGATGGTTGTTGCGACGATGTGCCAGAAGAAGAGATGAAGCAAATGATCCAATTCGAAGGAGGTTGTATGAGGAGAGAATCACAATTCTCCTTGGACTCCAATCAGCCTTGACTTCACAACATGCCTCCTTTCGAAGTTCGGCTCGAAGAGCCCTTGGATCTATGTCGGACATCAGCGACGACGAGAATTCTCCCAATTATGCTGCAATCAATGGACCAGCGAATTTGGGTGATGCTCAGAGAGCTCTTGCTTTCATAGGTGCTCTCCAAAGCGGTGCATCAAGCAGCACCGGTTTCAGCACCAATGTTGACATGGTAGCAAATGCCTTGGGAAGGAATGCAAACTTTCCCCCATCACCTACCTCTGAATCCAATGGTGATGAAACCCGATCTCAGGCCATGCAAAGGTATATGAGTTCGAGGAGGAGCGAAGTTTCAGATCCAAGCTTATGGAACTATTTGCACAATGGAGATGAGATTTCAGATGCGAGCGTCGAGAGCGATGGAAGCAATGCAACATAGCAAAGCAAAGACATGGCAAATGATGGATGAAAATGAAAGTGGTTTCCAAGCCATTAGCGCTTGGGGACAGCTCATGAGGCTTTAGCCAGGGGATAACATGGATCCCTGTTAGCCTTTGGACGTCTACATTTACCATGAGGAAATTAGAGCGTTTCAAGGTGTTGCATCATGAAAATCCTGAAAGGATTAGGCATGTACTGGCATCCCAACGTGGACCCCAGCGGCAAACATGATTGCAACTTTTCCAATAGAAATTTACAACTTAGTGCGACACTAGCCAAAAGGCTGTGTCGAGGCGGGGTGTTTATGGTTTCCGCTTCTTGCATCCCTTTTTACATACATGTTCAGTTAGCTGTCATGTCAGGTTTTCTTGTTGTGCAACACGCACAAATCGAGAAGTGCATTCCGAGACGCTTTTGCATCAAGCAAAACAATCAGAAACGCATTCCATGTCAGACTTTAAATTCGATGAAAACCAATGCCAATTCCACCACTAGCAACACATCACAAGCAAATCAGATCAGCAATGTGCGGTGAATCGGAGCGTCCGTTGGAACCCGCAGCCAGCCACCAAGAGATTTCTTTTATAGTGAATTAATGTCTGCAATTTGTGATTGATCTATGCATGACTCACTCACAAATGATCCCGAATTTGATAAGGACAGCGATGTTGAAGGTTCCCTTTTTGGTTCGCAGGACCGTTTCGTTCGTTTTCGCCTTTGTTTTCAGTGAAAACGGTGCAAACTAGTAGATAAAACAATACTGCAACAGTGGAAGGATTCAACATTTTTGCACCCTGAAACTTGTGTGGCCATTGCGTAAAATTGCAGGTTGAAGCATATGCGCAAGAAACCAACCTTTCTGATGAGGATTTTGGTGAGGTACAATCCAAGCAGTTCTTTACTTCGCTTCTTTGTAGATGTCGAAAGAAAACAAAATGAACAATTCCCTGCTGGACGTCAACTTCACACAGGGTTCATTTCCTTCTGGGCAAACTAACAAGTGCATATTTCAGTTATTTCCGAAAGATATGCAATGCATTGAACATTTCCCCCAACAATTCTTACAACACCCTCAGACGAAATGATAACAATATGCAATCAAATATATCACACATACCCCACATATCACACACATATCCCAGAAAAGTGTGTGTGGAAACGTGGAACTGGATGGAATTGGTGGAGGTGCTCTCTCCCTTTGGTCCGGAAACATTCAGAAGCGCTGCTGAATGCTGGGTGCGCACAGCTTACCGCGTCATGTTCAGCAAGTTCAACACTAAGATACATTGAATAAATGAATTATAAATGGGTTCTTCATCAATTCCCATTCACTTTATTTTAAAAGCACCGAACATCTGGGTGACCTGATGTACTAATGATGCCTGTTTTCAGCCCACATTCGACTTGTCAAGCCATGGGGGTCCGATGGACCCTTGGACGTGGAAACTGGTGGAAAGTGTATTGGACATTTTAAATCAGTAAACAATTTTGAACCATAGTGAAACCGTATCATATCAATATCAATATCAATATCAATATCAACATATATATGTACATATCAAACCACATGAAGAAACCACTTTTGTTTGGGCAATAGGGCTTGCCCCAGACCCATGCGTGGTGAAAGTGCTGTGGCCATGTGACAAGTTTCAGCCTTTGGTCTCCAACGAGGCTTATGCAAAAGAATTCGCATCGCTATGAGATGCTGGTGCTTGCGGTGGAGGTGAGCTGATGAGTCAGTAGATGTTAACAATGTTGGTAGGGTAGGATGGGTTGAGCTTCCACTTCCTCAAGATGCCCAAAATGATTCAAAGTGATTCAAAACGCATGTTTCTTTCTGTTGGACAATTTTTTCGAGGCGTCTTACCTCATTATGTACATTGCCTTCTTCATCTTAACAGGAGACTCCGCAAGGCCTGCGCTACAACTTGCAACGACACTCCAGTTGCCTTGTAGGACTAGAGAAGCCACGAAAGGGTGGTGCTCCTCCGTCCAAGGATTTCTACGAAAGCTGTGCACCTTGATGTAATGATTTGTGACTTATGGGACTCCTGCGAATATTTGGAACAAGACATGCAGAATATTCGCGCCTTCTGAGGTCGACAGTCTGTGGCAGAACGGATTGATGCGATTGGAAAATCGAGCTGCGGAAGTTGATTTGCGAGGGAGGCCGCTGTCATGTCATGTCAGTCATGTTTGGGATGATACGGTGAAACGGTGTGGGACAGGAAAAGTGGGATTCTTCCTTGAACATATTCATTTCGCATGATGGTGAAGCTTGGATAGATTTGGATACCTGTCGTTGTTCTCGTGAGTCTGCATGAAAGCCTGCAGATGGCCCGCTTCTGCGATGAAGACTTGATCAAGACTGATGCAGCTGACTTTTTCATGTCTGATCCAAAGCTGCAAGACGCTCCAAGATGCTCAAGATGTTGTCCAGTTTTCAGCACAGAAAGACTACTCAAAGTGCCAAATGACCGGTTTTGATTTCCGGTTGGCCGGATGGGTTTAGTTTCGTGTGCATCTCAAATAGTTTGCATGCAGCAAAATTACGAAAGCCAGCCGGCAGGCTAGGCTGAAGTTATTACTACGAGCGAAGTGAGTCTAAGGGGTCTGGGGCAGGTCGTGCAAAAGTGGTCAGAAAACGCGAAATTAGGTGGTGTTTTAGGTGGGCAAATGGGTGCGTTTTGAGGGTGATGTATCGTGTCGCAATACAGTGATGGTGGGGTATCGATTCCCCCTGGTCCGGCTCTTGGGGGTCGTAAACAAGGCTTGTCCGAGATGAGATGTAGAGGCCAGTTGGCAACAGAAAAACGAGAGGCCATTAAGAGATATAAAAATGGAGATCGGAGTTTGGGTTTTGGAGTCGTAAACAAGGCTTGTGGGCGATGAGACGTAGAGGCCATTTAGAAACAGAAAAAAATTAGGGGTCGGAGTCTGGCTCTTGGAGTCGTAAACAAGACATGTGGGGATTAGAGGCCATTTAGAGACATAAAAATGGAGATGTGTTTTCATCGCCAGATTCGAGCTGGCTTTCGTTACATCCTTCTCAGGTTGTAGTCTTCATCCCAACATTGCCACATTGAATAGTCATACGAATCCCAGCCATTAGCCATTGTTGGCAACGTTGCTGGTTCTCTCACCGGTGCAAGGTTTTGGACTATCGGGGCTTTGTGTGGCCCGCCACCGCTGGACCACGGGTTGGTCACAGCGTGTCATAGGCAAGGCCAGGGCATTTCACGCAGAGTTTTCTCATGTTTTCTCACGCCTTCAATCCTGGATTCAAGGTTTTCCATTCTTGTTGCACTTGAATGGAACAGATTCGCGAAAATACAGAAGCATTTGACAAACAGCATGGCTCTTCATGGACTGAGCACGTTGGGCTCAAACCATTGACTTCTTGTGCTTCGCTGCAGACTTAGCCACCGGCCTCTCATCTCATGCGTGTCACAGTCGTGGCTGCTCTGTTTGCGGCTGGTGTGCGGCAGTTCCTCGCAGACGGAGAGGCCTCCGAAAGCTGTCACCTACAACTCCATGGCAAGGGCGAATTGAAATCAGCAAAACCCGTGGGAGGTGGGGAGCCAATGGCAAAAATGCCGCTGGACTGGTGGGATTTTGAGTTTACAACATTTGAACGTCAAATGAGCGACCACTTTACCGTGGTGAAACCTGTATCCGAGTTAGTGGACCTGTTTTCAAAAGTGCCACAATGGGGGCAGAACGCGGTAGGAACTCCCCGAGAACTAGATAGGAAGTTAATCGAAGGAAGTTTAGAAGTGAAACTTCCGACAATATGGACAGATGAAAAAGCAGAGGTGCGAAGAGCCAGACGGGAGCAGAGTCAGAGGGGAGAAAAGTCAGAAGAGAAAAGATCAGAAGAAAGAAGATGCAGGTGTGCGAAAAGGTAGGAAAGTCGCGAAACACTGTTTTTTTCGATGTCTTGTGGCTCCGGAGGGTCGAAAAGTAGGCTCGCTAAAGCGGCGGGTGCGGAGACATCTGGGGAGATGAGAAATGAAAAGTTGCACGCCGTTGTGGCGCGAAGCAGATTTTGAAGTGAAAAGGTACAAAACACCTGGGTCTCGGAGCACTTTTGGAAGTTGAGAGGCCAAAAAAATGCACGCCGTTGTGGCGAGAAGCACATTTCGAAGTCAAAATGTACAAAACACCATTCTCGGACAACTTTTGGAAGTTGAGATGTCAAAAAAGTGCACGCCGTTGTGGCGCGAAGCACATTTCGAAGTGAAAATGTACAAAGCACACCATTTTCGGACCACTTTTGGAAGTTGCGATGTCGAAAAAGTGCACGCCGTTGTGGTGCGAAGCACATTTCGAAGTGAAAATGTACAAAGCACACCATTTTCGGACCACTTTTGGAAGTTGCGATGTCGAAAAAGTGCACGCCGTTGTGGTGCGAAGCACATTTCGAAGTGAACATGCACAAAGCACACCATTTTCGGACCACTTTTGGAAGTTGCGATGTCGAAAAAGTGCACGCCGTTGTGGTGCGAAGCACATTTCGAAGTCAAAATGTTAAAAACACCAGGGGTTCGGACCACTTTTGGACGCTGAGATGTCGTTCTGCGTGGCAGGTGCAAGGGATTGTCGATCTTGTCGAAAGTGAGCAAAACGTGAGGGTTTTGTGGCAATTCCAAAAACGATGGCAGGCATGGGACTTTTGAGGAGGATCTGCAAAGATGCATTTTCCATGTCAGGCGCAGTACAAAAGACATGTTCATGAGAGATGTTAGGAGGTCAGGGCGCTCATTTCCTGAGAGGGGTTGCATTTTGGAGTATCAGATCTGTAGGTTTGCTAAGATGATTTTGCGTGACAGGTGCAGCACTTCGTATGACCTGGCATCAATTTTTCGTGGCAGGCGCAGTACTTTAGAGAGGTGGAGTAGAAAAATCGCAAAACGCATAGGTACGAGGCTGTCAGCGCTGCACTCAACTTTCCATTTTTGAAGGAAGTCTCGCAAAATTGTTTTGTTTCTGATGTTGTCAAGCTCAAAAATTGAAGAAGTCTCGCAGAATTGCTTTGTTTTGGATGTTGTCAAGTGCAAAAAAATGAAGAAGTCTCGCAGAATTGTTTCGTTTTGGATGTTGTTACGTTCAAAAATTAAGGAAGTCTCGCAGAATTGCTTAGTTTTCAAGCTTGCAGACAGACAGACAGAGAGAGAGAGAGAGATAGATAGATAGACGGACAGATAGATAGATGGATGGATGGATAGATAGATAGATAGATTAGATAGATAGATACATAGATAGACAGATAGATAGATAGATAGACAGACAGACAGATAGATAGATTAGATAGATTAGATAGATTAGATAGATTAGATAGATTAGATAGATTAGATAGATTGATAGATTAGATAGATTAGATAGATTAGATAGATTAGATAGATTAGATAGATTAGATAGATTAGATAGATTAGATAGATTAGATAGATTAGATAGATTAGATTCGATAGATTCGATAGATTAGATAGATTAGATAGATTAGATAGATTAGATAGATTAGATAGATTAGATAGATTAGATAGATTAGATAGATTAGATAGATTAGATAGATTAGAAAGATTTGATAGATTAGATAGATTAGATAGATTAGATAGATTAGCTAGATTAGATCGATTAGATAGATTAGATAGATTAGATAGATTAGATAGATTAGATAGATAAACAGATAGATAGATAGATAGATAGATTAGATTAGCTTAGCTTAGATTAGATTAGATTAGATAGATAGATAGATAAATAGATAGATAGATAGATAGACAGATAAACAGATAGATAGATAGATAGATACATAGATAGATAGATAGATAGATAGATTAGATCAGAATAGATTAGATTCGATTAGATTAGATTAGACTAAACTAGATTAGATTAGACTAGATTAGATTAGATAGATAGATAGTAGATAGATAGATAGTAGGTAGATAGATAGATAGACAGATAGATAGATAAACAGATAGATAAACAGATAGATAGATAGATAGATAGATAGATAGATACACAGACAGATAGATCGATAGGTACATAGACAGATAGATAGACAGATAAACAGACAGATAAACAGATAGATAGATCGATAGATTAGATTAGATTAGATGAGATTAGATGAGATTAGACTAGATTAGATTAGATTAGATAAGATTAGATAGATAGACAGATAGATTAGATAGATTAGATAGATTAGATAGATTAGATAGATTAGATGGATTAGAAAATTAGATAGATAGATAGACAGCTAGATAGATAGGGAGATAGATAGATAGATAGATAGATAAACAGATAGAATGATAGATAGATAGACAGATAGATAGATAGATAGATAGACAGATAGATAGATAGATAGATAGATAGACAAATAGCTAGAAAACTAGACAGCTAGATAGATAGAGAGATAGATGGATAGATAGATAGATAGATGGATGGATGGATGGAATCCATAGATAGATAGATACATAGATAGATAGATAGATAGACAGATAGATAGATAGATAGACAGACAGATAGATAGATCGATAGATAAACAGATAGATAGATAGACAGATAGATAGACAGAAAGATAGACAGATGGATAGATTAACAGATAGATAAACAGATAGATAAACAGATAGATAGATAGATAGATAGATAGACAGACAAATAGCTAGAAAACTAGACAGCTAGATAGATAGGGAGATAGATAGATAGATTGGTAGATAGATAGATAGATAGACAGACAGACAGACAGATAGATAGGTAGACAGATAGATCAGTAGGTAGGTAGGTAGATAATCAGAGAGAGAGAGAGAGAGAAGCAGAGAGAAAAAAAGAGAAAGAGAGGAGACCTCAAACAAAATGATTCACTCTGCCATCCCTGATTCACAACAACCAATCGCTCCTATAGGTTTCCTATATTTAAAACTTCCGCCACCGCCTTGCGCGGTACTACTGGTAATGGTAAACGAAGAATTGGACAACCATCAAAACCGGAAAACGAGACCTAGAGACGAAAACCATCAAACATGGAATGAGGTTGGAGCTCCTGTCCTTCAGCCGTTGATTCAAATAAAGTTGTTAGCTCAAATGATGTATTGCTGTTCCTGACCTTAGCGTGACCCAAGTTTTGGATATGTCCGATTCAATCTTGTTCAAACATTTTAGCATGTTCAATTTTTAAGCATGTTAATTGTTAACCATATTGCACATTGCGCCGCCAACTTTTCTTCTGTTAAGGTGAGAAAACCTGAGAGATCCTTTGAGGGTTTGGATTCGGTTTGGATTCGGTTTGGATCCCTGGAGGTCTTACTTTGGGCGAAGAGACCGAAACCAGTGGAGACGAAGAGATGGAGAGCGATCTTGTGCCAAACC